TCAAATAGAAAGTCGCGTCTAGAGCGAAAAGTAGGGCCAAAGGGCCTGGGCGTGAGCGCTGGCGCCCTCGCCTCCCCACAGTGCTCTGCCGGGTCAGCAGGGCTCCGGCGGCGTGTCCCTGAGGTCAGAAATGCCCCTTGTTCCCCGAGCTGAGCCCTGGGACTTCAACCCTGCGGCCAGTCAATGGAGACTTAGAGCGTTCAGTGTATGTAGAGGAACTGGCGCTATGCGCAATTAGGAAAAAGTGTAAGGAAATTTAGTCACTGGGCTCCAGGGCTTAACACTTCAAAGTTCACTAGAAGTTGGCCAAACCTGAGCCGCAGCGTGAGAACGGAGTCCTTTAAGTCATAATCAGAAAATAATTTTTTCTTCCTTATATAAACACAGTTTTAGAAAAGCTGATCATCAGATGAAAACCATTAAGGTGTCGTTTTAGTCATATTTTGTAAAATAAGAAATGTTTAATCCTTTGCCTAAAACTGTTGTTGATCATTTTGAGAATAGTACAGTTTGGAAAAGGAATTATCAATGATGTTTTTGTCTGCTTCTTGCTGGGACCTTCTAAGGAGTCTACATTTACCCCAAAAAGCTCGTACCTTATGGATCAGTACAGTGTGCTTACCAAGGTTCTTGAACTTCTCAGAAAGTTTTATATTTCACCTCACTTCAAATAGCTTCAAAGATTGCCGCTCTGCAGCTTCCCTGGCTGAAAGGAGACTGCTGGTTCCTTTCAGCTCAGAAGTTGGTCAAACGTCCAGTTGACTTTGATGAACACGTACGGGACTGAGTCAGTACAAATCAGATTGCTTTACCATTGTATTTTGAGATACACTTTAAGCATTGAGAAGGCAGATTTAAAAATTAAACCACCTTCACCTTCGTATTTAAATTTTGTGAAAAATTTTAAGAAGTCAATTCATAATTCAATGTATAGGTCGATTAAAATAGCTGAGCTAAAACAATGCACATTCAGTTGCTGAAGTCACTGTGTGATTTGTGAAGTAATTTTCTACACACTGTGCAATAACTAATAATGAGGATCTCTTTCTGTCCTTAAATGCCACAAGCATGTACCATTGGTCCCACTGATACTTCCCATAACTGTAGCCCTTTCAGTTTGTGTTCCTTGTTGACTTTCTGTTACTTCAAACTAGTGTGACTAAAGTAACACCGTCTTTTGCCTATGATAATTTGCTTTGATTTACAACAAGAAAATGGAAATTTCATTCTAAAAAGTGGGTAACTGGGAATGTAAATATCTTGGTCCTTAGATATTTTAGCTTCAAAGTTCCCTAGAAGTTTTTAGCTTTTAAACTTTTTTTGTAAACTGAGGCCAACTAACTCTGTGGGGTTGGTTCTAAAAATATTCATTTAAGTGGGCATCCTAGTCATTCACATACACAGAGAAAGTGCGAAATGCAGTGATGGATGGTAGGTATTATTGGTTTTATCATTTTCATTACATAACTGTTGAGTTTGCAAAGCAGTCTATTGGACATGGGTCATCTTAAAAGGTATATGCTTCTTTTCAAGATGTTTACAACTCAGGTGAAAAGATGAAGGCATAGGATCAAAACTGGTGTGACATATCATGGCTCTGTTGTTAGGAAATTAATACTAGAGTGTTGTCTGTGATCTGAAATTTGAGTGAGACATGTGCTAGTGTGGTCTAATGGATCTGGGAAGTAGAGCTTTGGTTGTAAGTTAGACATGAATCCAGAAGGTGAACTCATCAAAACTGTCTACTTAGCTCTTTGGAAAGAAAAAGAAAATGTGAAAGCAAGTAGAACAGTTTGACTGAAGTCAAGGGGTTAGATAAGGTAAAAGTGATGACTCTTAAGTAAGGTCATTAGTTAGGAAGAGATTGTTAAAGTCATCCTGATTATAGCATGAACCAGTTTAAAGAGTTTGGACTTCATGCTATGGGCACAGAGGGTATTCATGTTGTGAGCAGTGGAATGATGGAGAGTGTAAGACTATTGAAATAATTTGGGAGTGGTTAGAAATCAGTAAGAAGAACTTACTGAGAGATAGTCTCGTTGAGAAGCAACAGAAATGATTTATGCGGGAAGTGATGAATAGTTCTAGCAGGGCGGTGACGAGGGAGTAGACAAGGAACTGTTATGGAGAAGCAACCCATGGATGATGGATTAATGGGGGAGTTGGAAGTAGGAGAAGTCAACCCTGGCCTCTTTGTTTTAATACTAAGAAAATGTTAGTTCAATTTGGGGAACTATCTGTCCATGAACACCAAAAGAATCAATTGGAGTTCATGGACTGAGAGTAGATGATACAGTATCATCCCATATATTGGCCTGAAATTTTACTCTGCATACGACATTGCTGGAGAAGCAAAGTAAGCTCTGCAGTTTACATCGGGTTGAAGGGAAATAATTGTATATGGTTGACAATAATTAGACTATGCAGTATAGTTACAATATGTGAGCATTTGATAGGTGTTACTACAATTCCTCTGGGAAAATTAAAAGTATGTGGATCCTGTTATGCTGCTCTCACAGTGAAAAAGTAAGCTTTCCTCGAACAAAGTAGGTCCTAAGTGTGGCTATAAATTTTAGGCATTTATTTGGGGATTGTCTTGTCTTTGAGCTGTAGGATCCATGGTAGGGACTCCTCCTCCACCAGTGTTTAAGAATGACTTCAAAATGAGAAAAATGAGAAGTATTTGTGGAAGAAGATACTTTTAAACATTCTTAACCCTGATCTCTTTATGGTAGAGGCTCAGGTTTGACTTCCTAACAGCCCTTTTCTGGTGAAAGCAAAAGACTGTACGACCAAGAATTGTGTCCTGTCGTTTGTCCAAAAATATAACTTATTCTTGGAAAGCCTACGGCAATTATGCTTACACTTCTCCTCAAAACAGTCTTTTCGTCAACTTATTATAAAGTTTCTGACATTACTCTGAGTGATTTTGGCCAATATGAATTTGCACATGAATTCAAGTAACCTTCCAATTTGGTTTCTAATTTTGTGTTTCTTTTTGTGGACAGTGAATTATTGCTTCATAGCTTTTTGTGTGTGAGAGACGGAATGAGCATTACTTTGGGAAGCAGTTGATTACTGATGTCAATTACACCTATTTAAGCATGTGCGATTCTTTTCTTTTATTTTCGCAGAACCAGGGATTGAACTTAGGCCCTTGTACTTGCCAGGCAAATGCTTATTCATGTGTGATTCTTAATAAGATGCATTGAGTTTAAAACAAAGTAAGGTCCTGGCTTCCCACATGCAATTAGTCTTAATTCTCCAAGACATGTCTCTTAAAGTATCAAGCACCATCCTCACTGGCAATACAGTGCTCAAGGAATAGATCAGCCATTCATTCAAAAGTCTAGAATCAATATAACAAGCAACTCTGTACCTGACATGGCTTGGAAATAGACTTTCTCATATGAAAAAAAGTATGTAACTTTTAAGAAAAAATGGTGCTTATCTGACACTAAAGGAATGAGTTCCTAACACTTCCCTTAAACTAAAGCACATGAGCAGAAAGCTATCAATCTTGTTTCCATACTTTGCTTGGTTTGTAGTTACTTTGAAAACATCTTGTAACCTGCTGTCATATAGTAGATAACTTACAGAAAATTTTTACATTACTTTCTTTTGCTTGAAACATCCACTGGTTTATACTTAGTTTCCATATTAAAATTAAACTCTTCTGCCTTATTCCTAGTCTTGATAATCCAACTCCAGCATGTGTGATCATGATTTCAAACTCCTGTTTAACAACAACACCTATGTCCTATCCATGTCACTTACTTAATTGTTTTCACCACTGCCTTTCTTCCATTATTTAAAGATGCTTAGATGTTTAGGGACCTTATCCTTTTTCCTTTCAGTGAATCCTCTTCTAGACTTCACTTTCTTAACTTCCATAAATTATCAATTCAATCACATTTTGTCTTGGTCCTTTATATCCTTGTTCTTTGGGTCTTTTTGAAGAATTTAGCTGAAAACAACCCAAATCTAGATTGACAGAAAGTCTATTTTAAACCTTCCCCATTCTATCGATAGAATAAAGGACCATAGAAAACTGCAGTTTTCTTCCTAATTTATAGAGGAAATAGAAGTGCTCAGCTTTTTACTCACTACGGTCTATCTTCTGCTCTGTACACTGTGTGTGTCCTACTTTCACCACCTGGGGCTGTTGGTCTTATTTGCTGGATCTATCAACACAACTTGACAGTTCCTCATGTACACCTTCATCACACACTCTTCAGTCCCTCCAAACTTTTATCTCTTGAGTTCTTCACAGGAAGACTTCTTATATTCTCCTAATCCTCTCTTTATCTCCACTAACAGTGATATTTTCTGTTGGTTATGTCCTGTGTCCTCTTATTTTCTCATTCAGATTATCCAAGTAATACATTATCAGCATATTCATTTCCTTAAGTATCTTAGATAAAAATTGAGGTGTTCATATATGATCAGTCCCTTTAGCTTAAACCTTAGGTAGCACAATTCATTTCACCCAGCTGCACTCTGAAAGCAAAAACTAAGGATAAAGTTAAGATAAAATTAGTATATATATATATATATATATATATATATATATATACTTGAATATAGAAAATTTTAAAGTCCAAATTAAAAAGTATGTGTGTAAACCATGTACTCTTAGTTATATTATCCAGTAATATTAACTCATAGCTCAATGGCTTTCAATTTCTTTTACTGTGTAACTGGGGTAATTTTTAAAATAATACATGCATGATAAATTGCCATAAGGAATATGTAAATTATCATCAGTATATGATAGTTTGGAATTTGCAAATTTTTGGAGAGGCTATAAATTGAGTTTCCTAATAGTTCATACTTTCTCATTTTACTTAATGCTCTTTAACTTTGTATTGCTTTGCAAGATAATATACTGATCAATGAAAAGGTGATCTTTGCTTTTATTGAATTTATCTTAGAAGAATTCAGGGCAATAAAGTATTACCTATGTGTATATGTCAACTATTGGGTTAAAAAAAACCTTTCACTTTTGAAAATAATAAATGGAGATTAAGAACATGTAAATTGTGGACATTAATCCAGATTAGAGCCTAACAGTTTGCCCCGCCTCAGTGAACTTTAACCTAATGGCAAGAACCACTCAGCAGGTACACAGTAGTTGAAGGAGTTACCAAGACCTCTGACGCCCAAGAAGGGAGCCATCCGTGTACAGAGTGGCTACCATCGGCCTGAGGCCTGGGAAGAGGAAAGGCAGACAGGCTGCTTGTGCTTTTGTTTTTGTTACTCCAGATAAAAGATTGGATGATCATCTGTGAATGTTTTATTAAGGTTGTCTACAGAATTTGCTTAGATTTGAGAGTGAAGGAGATATTTTAATTTTTGAAATATTAAGTTTTCAGAATGAACCATGATTTGAGACTATTAACAAAAGTACAGTGATTTGATAAACCTTAAAGCACCTGGCAAGAGGAAAACTGTGCTTCCTTTGACACCAAAATCAATAACTCAATCCTCAATGTAGAGCTTTATGCTGGAAATCCAATCCAGAAAGTTGGTCAGAAGAATTTCCTGGGGAGTTCTCACTTCACCAGCGTGTATGCTAAAGGAATTTCCTGGGGAGCGTGTCACAATACGTTCAAGATATCATGACCAAAACACAGAGCTAATGAATTGAAATCTCCAGACATAGTCTTATGAATGTGATATTTTAGTAAATAACATATATTTCTTAAATGCAAGTACATTGGGAAAAAAACAATCTTATGTATTTATTTCTCTTCCACGGTTCTATCTCTATGCATGGAAAATTGATAGCTGTTAGCTACTAAGATTTTTTATATGGAGATGAAACTGCAGACAAATGGAATGGAAATGTCTAGTTTTGTGGGATTGGCGTAATAAAATCTATAAAATATTACACAAGGGGTTTTATGGTGCAGACATGTTGAAGAGGCACACGTCAAATTGTACTCATGTGTCAATATTTCTCAACATTGAAAAGTTAAATCACTGTATATTTTGTGAATTTGGAGATTCTGGTTCAGGTATGGTGGAACTGGGGTTCTGCTTTCTAACAAGCCTGTTGATGATGTAAGTGCTACCAGGTCAAGGATGATAAGGAACCAATGGACTAAACTCACTGATTAAAATGTAACAGTGGTGGACTCTGCCATCTCTCCAAGGAGGATGAACCAATCAACCACATTACAGATCTTTTTTTTACATTACAGATAAAAAGGATGTCAAATGTGTATAACGCTCTTTCTTTATACACAGCCCCAAAGTACTGTATCTATCTGCTATGCTGTGCTGTGTCATTTCCTTTTAGACTCAGTCTAAGTTTTCAGTTGAAGTACTGTTCTCAAGAATTACAGACAGGTGATAGATTAATTGCTAAAATTTTTACTTTTTGTTACACTTGTAGTTAATTCAGTGATGGAAGATATGTGTCCACTTTTCTCAGGACCTGAGTGTCTGTCTGTCTGTCTGTCTGTCTGTCTCTGTCTCTGTCTCTGTCTCTGTCTCTGTCTCTGTCTGTCTCTGTCTCTATCTGTCTCTGTCTCTGTCTCTCTGTCTCTGTCTCTGTCTCTGTCTCTCTCTCTCTCTCTCTCTCTCTGGTCCCCTACACATATTTTTCAAGTGCATCTTTACTAAATCCGCTAACTGCTGGCACTTGTGGTTTGGCTTCCATTGCAAAAGCGAGAGTCATCTTTGATTTGTAGCATTCTTGATTGAAGAAGCTGAAAAGCATTTAGGAAGGTTGCTTCAAGAGAAGCTACCATCAACAGTGGAGCATGGGCCGTTTCTCTCTTTTGTTTTGCATTTGATATAATCTTCATAGCTATTGAAACTGTTCCTCTGTTGAGGTCAGCAGCAGAGCACTGATCCACCCTTCCTATGTAATTTTTATTCATCTGACATTGTTGTAACAGAAATTGGTTACTATAGCAACACTAGAGTTATTGTGCATTGCATGTCCTGTATAATCAGGTTA